TCATCATAATGATAGGGATCAATATTTGATGCCATTGGAATTTGCTTACAATGATAGTATTTAAGCAAGTATCAATTATTCACCATTCTTCTTTAACATTGATCAATATCCAATTATGCCAGCAACTCTCCATTGTTTCATTGATATCAGTAATTCAACAACGAAAGAATTTATACAATGGCTTACAATGGCCTTATAAGAGGTATGGCATTGCCTACTGACTGCACAGAATCAATAAAAATAGTATGCGGATAACCATCAATAATATAAGATCTTTTGAGAGGGTGATTAGGTGTTATTTTTCAATGCCAACTTGCCTTTTGCGACATCAATCGAAATCTATAAACTATCACCTTAGACGCTTGGACTTTTTTGCATTTCTATAGTGATTTTTGATGTTGCATATTGCCTTGAGTTTTTGCCACATATTTGGATCTATTTGGTCTTCTATGTTTCATAACTTAAAGAATTTCATATTGAGCCAAGGTGCTTTTCAGATGAACAACAACCACCACCACGATTAGTTGTAGTTAATAACTAAGAAGAGTATGAAGTAGACAACATTTTGGAATATCGCTACCTTTGTTGTGGTAATAGATATCTACAACTTTAATACAAAGTCCTTTGGAAAGATTATCCCATCTACGATGCAATGTAAGAACCTGCACAAAACCTTATCTATTTCCAAGAAATAATTTGGATATACCATTGGGAGTGAAACAAAGATGTTTTGCATTAAAAGAAGAAAATTAATTATAAAAAGATATAGATAAGATATTTGTATTGTAAATACATAAGGATAGATAGTTGAAGCTATGTTTCAAAAGTTTATAGAAGTTTTTAAAATTGAAGCTAGATTAGTAGGTAATATAGAATCTACCATAAAATATTTTAGAAAGAATTTAAGGTAGTTATTTACGTGGGATTTACTATGAAGAACATTCTAGAAAGTTCCAAGATAGTTGGACAAAGTATAAATAGGACTAGCCAAGGCCATTTGGGCATTTGGTCAAGTATGGCTTCAGACCCTTTTTCTTGATAAAGTTTGATTTTGCATCTTCATATTCAGTTTTGTTTTATTTTGTTTTGTTGTAATTTGCTCTATCTTTCATTGTGATAGGATTTATATTGCTATGGACTAAAAATGTCTTGGATTTTTGAAATAATTCAATCTCATTTTACATGGTCTAATAAATTTGGCTATAATTTAAAATACGTACTGACATAAAGTATTAGAGATTCTTACGATCCATATATACGGAAATTAGAGTAGAAGTGCCTTTTAGATAATGACACCATTCTTGAAATGAATCCACAATTGCAAGAAGCTCTTTATCATGGATCTTGTAGTTAATTTCAACTATTAAAAAATTTCTTGAATAAAAAGCTATCCAATAGAATTCATCATTTTCTTTTATTTATAACAACATTGTATCTATAATAAAGTATAATGCATCTATTTTTATAAAGAATACCTTAAAAAAATTAGTGTAATATAAAATTGGTACTAAAATAAATGTTGTCTTTAAGGCTTCAAAAGATACTTTAATTTCTTTGCTTTAGTCAATTTTGTCTTTATATGTTAGATGTATAAAAGGAACTTCAACTTAAAAAAAGTTCTTGATGAAGATTTAATAATAATTAGAAAATTTCAAAGAATATTGCCATTTTTGATAATTTTTGAAAACTTTCATTCTATGATAGTCCGAACCTTCTTATAATCCATTATAAGGCCATTATTTAAAATGATATATCATAAAAAGTCAACTTGAGTAGTGTGAAGTATACACTTTTTTTTTTTATCTTTGTATATAATCTTGCATCTCTTAGTTTTTGTAATACATGACAAACATGAAGTTCATGCTCTTTTATATTCTTAGAATAATTCAAGATATCATTTAAGTAACAAACAACAATGTCATCAAGAAACTCACAAAAGACATCATTCAATTAGTACATTTGTAAGTCCAAAAGACATGATATTATATTCAAAATTCTCATACTTGGTTTGAAGTATAATTTTTTATTCATCTTCTTTTTTAATATGTACTTGATTATATGTTCCTTATAGATTTATTTTGGTATAGTTCTTTATTTAATTGAGTTAATGAAGAAGTCTTGAAATCAAAGGTAGAAGATACCTATTTTTGATGAGTGATCTAGTTGAGTCCTTGATAGTCTATACACATCCACAAAGATCCATATTTTTTTTTCAACAAATAAGATGAGAAACCATATTAGAGATTTAGAATAACAAATGAAGTTTTAGCCAAGTTCTTACTAATATATTCATTGAATGCAATCAACTCATTTTGTAATAGGCTATACATTGGTCCAAATAGTGGTTGAGCTCCTTCTTAAAGGTCAATGGAACAATCATAGAAATAATATTCTAGAAGAATATCTATATTTTTCTTCTCAAAAATATCTTAATAATCTCAATATTGACTTAAAATGCCACTTGAAATCTTTTTTTTATAAAAAATAGGTGTAATATGTATAGCAAAAATTGATTCTTCTTTTGTAGCATACATGAAAGCTCTTGCACCTACTAATAAAGATTTATACTTATTGGACTTATGGATTTTTATTTAATTAGTAATTTTTTTTTATTAAACTATGAAAAAAATTAAGGTTATATGAAATCCAATCTATTTGGAGATTATATTTTTTTAGCCACAATGATCCTAAAAGAACTAAATTAGAAATAGATCTAACAATATTAAATATTATTAAATTATTATGACTATTAGTTGGTATATTTAAAGGAATAATTTCATGGATTACATTTATTTATTGTAGAAATCATCAAAACTTTGTTCTTGTTCTATTAAACTTCTCCAATATACTTATCCTTGCCTCCCTCATACTTATAGTAGCAAGATTTTTCAAATTTAGTTGTAATTTGATTTACTTGCTTTTCTTAATTGTACAACTTCTTGGTGTAGTCTTTGAATTTTATTATTGACCTCTTCTATATGCATTGGAATATTACCTCTATAGTTTAAGTTAGAGATATATGAGATTTCCACTCTAAGAGTGTAAATAAGCTCATAAAGATGTGCAATGGTTGCAAATCTATTCTCACTTTCACTGAAAGTAGCATTTAATTTTTTTTCTTTCATAGACAATTCAAAACAAATCTATAAGTCAAATTAGAAGAAGATAATCTGCAATCTCTAATATCAAATGAACATTTCTATGAAAAAAGATAGTTTACTTGTTTTAACGAAGAAATCATCGTTAAAGAACTAAAATGCTAGATTGAAGGTGGGTAGTCTACATCCTTCAAAATACAATAATAGAAGTGGAATAGTTTACTCACTTCTAACAACAAGAAAAGAATAATGAATAAGCACTCATGTTAAATTATATTGAACCAAAAGATCAATACACTCTCATGTCACTTGAAAAGGTTAAAAAAACACTCAAAGATGGTACAGTATTAAATTAAAATGGCTATTATCAAAGACAAGAAGACTAAAAAATCTTGAAATGAGACTATGGACTAGAAGGCATTAATAAGAGTAAAGAAGGCTTCATTCTTGCCTCCATATATTCTATTTAAGTATAAGTTATATGGTGATGTTGTATCGAACCTTTAAAACATGTCTAATTTGCAAGATACATGTTTTAATTTGCAAAGAAAGTTTCTTATATGTGCACCACATTGATAGCTTGTACCATAAGCTATAAATACATATGACACATGACTAACTTGATGGCCAAGTTTCTAACCTACCAATCACCTATAAATACATTTAAAGGTGAAACCGTATCTATGAAGCTTCTAATAAGCTTTTCTATAAGATATTATTAAATTAAACTACTTTTATCTATTCATAATATCTAGATAACTTTTGAAGTGAATATGTATGTTTGTGACATATCATCAAATAGTTACAAATTATATTTCTTGTATATATTAAGATATATTTTTATTAATTTAATTTTTAATTATATATTAAATATATATACTAAAATAAATTTCATCAATTATAGATAAGTTATTATAATTATGCATATGATTTCGATTTCTTATATTTCTCCCAATATCTTTAATTATAGGTTAAAAGCATGGAATCTCAAAGTCTTGTGATTAACATGCAAGAAAACTACTTTACAATTCAAAAGTTAGAAAATATGAAATATATTTATAGCATAGAAGAAACTCACTATGAAACCACATATAAAAGTTTAGTAGCAATTTCAATGAGCCTCCTTACTAAAATTTAAAAATCAAAATCAAAATCAAAAAAATTAAAATATATAAATAAATAAAAGAAGTCACTCTCAAGTAAGGAAAGGATACTCTGACCTAAAGATGACTCCTTTGGGCGCACTCAAAAGGCTTGCACTGATGTTTCACCTTATCTAAACTCACTTGACATCATGTACAATAGACTATACATTTACTGGTAAGTCACAATGACTCCAGCTTATCATTCATTCAAAAGATTATTAAGAGTCCAACCGCAAAAAGCCAAAAAGTGAGGTGTGTGCCGTGGTAGTAGCCCTCCAGGGAACTGTGAAGTCACGGAAGTGAGTCCATGGCCTGGGTCGGAAGTAGGCCCTTCAATTTTGCCAGCTCATTTCGTCACCCCCCATCCCTCAATCAATCAAGCCCTCCCTCGAAGGTCCACATCGGACTGAAACTTTAATAACTGGCTTTGTAATTTTTATACTTTAGACTGAGTGATGCAGAGAGCCTCGTTCCCTTCGCTAAGTTGGCGTCTACGTGGACAACCAAGTGCTTGACGTGGCAGTCCGCTACCACTGTGACGTGTCCTTGATGAAGCGAGCTCGAGTCTACGTGGACGAGCACCAGAGAAGGAGGACGAACGAAGTGTCTCGTCGAGGTGGACGTTAGCAACTGACATATCGCCGCTCACAAGACCGTTGTCTCTATTCGTTCAAACGGCCAGAAATACGTATTTATCCACGTATTTGTACGAGGCCGTGTGGGTTCTGAGTATTTCATGCTCCGATACCAACAAAGCTATCTCGCAACAGTGAGCTCTGAGTCATCGGTTGTTACTTGATTTCTTCACCCGCAAATTTCCCTCCGCGTGCGTCAGTTGTGGTTGTTGTCTGCGCTTGCACGTCCAAATTCCAGCTTAGTTTTTCTTACACCGCAATGCGCTTTCTGTTAATTTAAGGTGCGCGTGAAACGGCTTCTCCCTTGCACAGGTCCTGTTCGTAGCGCCTGCAGGGGTTTTGAAAGTTGATCAGACGCGATAGCGTTGCTGTGTGTTGTTTTTTTAATGTGCTAGAGTCTTTTACAATTGTTCTCTCAGTTGGTTGCTGCAGTTGTGAAGGGTGGCTTTCTTGTGGTTAGTGGTAGGGGGAGAGTGGTGGGTGATGGAGGTTTTGACATGATGAGTGCGTATCTCGCAGGATTCTTGAGGTGAACCGGTCAGGCTCAGCATGTCTTCGTGGAATGCGCCTTACGCGACGTTGCATGATCTGCCTAAGTATGAGAAGCGACCCGACGTCGCTGGAGCGCCGTGGTCCAGGGACCAGGCTGCTGTTAAAAGCTCGCGTGGTCAAGATCCCCTTCCCTACGTAACTTGCAACTCGCGGACTGCTCCCTTCGCCACTTTCCACAACACTCCTAACGAGGCTGACCCGAAAGCCGAGGTAACCTTTCTAGCCATGAATTTACTCATTTGCACCTTCATATCCAGTGTGCTCGTGCAGGATATGGTTCTAATGCCGAGTGAAAAAAATTGCGCAGATGTTCCACTCATCATATTTTTGTTCTTGTGTGTTCGCCATCACGTGTGCTGCAGTTTCTTTTCATGTTACCGTACGAAATCATCATGCATGAACTTAGACGGTCAAAACATTCTTTACACAAATACGGTTTTAACAAAATAGAAACTTATGGTGTCAAATAGCATGATCTGTTGATGGAGTCTCTTGATATTTCTTGTAGATTCTCAGAGATTCTCAACCTCAGGTGGTTAACGTATTGCAGCAGTGTGCATCAATACCTGAATCTTTTCTAGTGCATCAACGGAGCCCCATCAATGGCTTTCAATTCCTCAATGAGCACAAACATAGCGCACCTTCTGACATTTCTCATGATACTGATCACCACCTAACGCAGGCATGTCCACTTTCATATAATTACTTTCGATCTTCTCCTCAAGATTGTAGACATCTAGCTGAGAGCGGATTTATACGAGAGTTGTTTCATGAACTGTATCTTTTCAGAGCACTCTTCAAATTTTCTGATGTTTATGAATAGTAGTTCTGTTGGTCTCCTCTTTCACGGTAAGGTTTGGAATGACGATTGTGCGGAATTTGCAGGCCAGCCTATCAAAGATTCACCAAGCTCCTTGGGATCGTAACGATGTACACTACAAGGTAACCTCCTCCTCTTCGACCAGATTGCTCCATGCCCGATCAGTAGTTTCGCGTAATAATCTGTGTGTCCTTCGACTTACCCCTGTTCAGATGTTGGAACTCAGTAATAAATACCAATGAGCATATGGTTTTTTCTCATTGGTTAGCTCTATCACTGCAGGTCCAGCCAAGATTCCCACATGGGGAGGACGAGCCACACTACACCTCTTCTCATGCACCGTACGCAACAGATTCTCAACGAGGTACTACACTCCTCCAGCAACACTGTTTAAGGAATGCTTGACCTTTGTTTGGGCATGATCGTGAAACGTATTTCCCTAGAATTATCTTTCTTCCTTGTATTTGCAGTTTACATAACTAAATTAAGGATGCTTCTTCATTGCTAAGGTGATGTAAGTATGCTTTTGGCAGGCTGAAGTTGATGGGAAGCACTGCACATTCAACTGTTACCAGTTACCATGCACCTGTTGCCACGAACTTTTTGATTTACTGGCACGTCGTGAACATCTGTATGGATCGAATAATAGGATATATATAGACCACGGCTGTAGACGTTGTGTAAACGATTTGTTTGCCTAGCTTGTTATATATTTTTCTCAGTAGAACCATGTTGATAACTCTTATTGGCAACGTTCATATCTAATACAGATATTCCCATTCTGCTCCGACTGTGTACCTTTATTCATTTGTTCTTATATCGTAGTGACGTTCTGGTCACTCTATCGAAGTCGTGATAACTAACTGATAAGTTCGGTTTTGTATATCAATCTACCCCACATCTATGCGAGCTCACTATGGTGCTACCGGCTCTATACTGCCAACGGACAACGGCTAAAATCTCATGTATTCAAACAAATTTTGATTTAAAAAGAAAATGAGCAAACGATTAAAGAAAAAAGAACAGAAAAAAATAGCACAATGTAACATTATTATGAAGAAGGGTGTGTCATTCAATCTTTACAATTGAATCTAAAAAATGGAAGTAAAATGTGGTGAAGCTATTGTTTGCCCATATGGTACCGGAGTGGATAGTAGTTGTAAAACAAAGAAATTTCTGTTTGTAATAAAATGTTTAAATCATAAAAACACAAGTACTTTAACACTACTTTCTATGGAAAAGAAATACCAAGAAAATATATAAAAAACTACCACTAAAAGTTATTCAAGAAGTAAAAAGAAAAAAATATTACCATACTGACTAAAAAAAAGATATTTTATTCAATGACACGAAACCTGTTTCTCATGGGTTTTCAAAGGACATGTCATGGTCTATGAATTGTTCTTTTATCACGTCCCTAAGAACCTCCAATCTAGATATGACAGTAGGATTTAACAAAGATTGAGCTTCTTTAATAAGTGTACCTCTTTTGTTGAGATAAAAAGCATCTAAAATGATGTTAATCCACTTCAGTAGGCTGTCCGGACTCCTATAAAACAACAAACAGAATATACCAGGTCAGTTAGATCGGAGAATGCCGTGTTTTAATTGCTCCAAAGCCACTTAGTTGAAGAGCAAAACAATTGATACTTACGTGTAAACCCTGCCGACCTCGTTCCTCACATCCAACTCATCACCAGGTGAAAATGCCGTTGTCATCTCTGCAAACCGTTTACGAGGATCGTCTATGCTAAGAAGGTGATATATTACTTGAATCTCTTTCGGGGTGCTTTTGGCGATGTTTTGCCTTGCAACAGAATACAGATAGAACATAACATCCTTAGCCTGCAAATCCCCCAAATCCAACAAAACCTCTATTAGCGTAATGGACTAACATCGACGCCACTTGCAAACAGAAACCTACGACTACTGAAACATGGAACCCATTGACTAGCAATAAAGAGTGAAACCATGAAAAGAAGCATTACCAGGGCTCAAAAGCTGAGGTAACGTCGTCAGCTTAGAAACCCAGCAAAGAGAGTAAAGATGACTGCATGACACTCTTTAACGTTGTGTTAGACATAAAAGACTAACCTCGTCTGTCATCAAGGTAGACACCTTCGCTGAAGCCCAGGCCTTCGTCAGTAAAGCCATAAGCGTAGAATCCAATTGCTTGTTCTTTGCGAGGTTTTCAATTCTTTCCGCTGCTTCTTCCAAAGAAGGGGCACTCAAGATTTCGTAGTATTTCCTTTTTGCCTCTTCTATGGATTGGCTATCTTCGAATGCTCTGTCATGTGATTCAACAGATATGAGGATCTTTGAAGCAATGGTTGCGATTTCTGTAACACAAAACGTGTACTGATCTCAGCACTGGAACAATTAGCCATTCAAATCAAACATATCAAACAATTGCTCACGGTTAAGCAGTAATGTAAAAGAAATAATGAGCTAGTATTCCTTGGAAATTATGAAGCAGAACGATGGAAGATGAGTGAACATATACCTTCTCTTCTATTCCACTCATTTTTATTAGCCTCGGTAAGTATATTTAGATGCTGAAAAAACTCTCCAGTGAATTCCTCCCGGTGCCGTGCCACAATGGCATCAAGGTCTTGTGGTGATTCTTCAACCATGGCAAGAATTTTATTATGATGCTGCATATCCTCGTCCACCTGTCAAATCAATCACTACCAAAACTCAGACCCCTACATCCTCCATGAAGCGGAACTATACCAAAAAATTACAACATGTTGTAGTCAGTTGCTCCGAAGCGATCAACCCCCTAAAATCCGACAACTCACTGATTTCATCTCCATCGCAAGCTTAAGGAGGGCCGCCTTTCTGTTGGGATCGTCCGCCAACTTAGCCTGGCGATCACAGCGCCTAAAAAAATACGGCCTTATTTTATTCCACTCCGGGTTAGTAATGAGAACTCGCCACTGCCCGGGCTTCGTCCGCTCCGTCAAGAAAACTTGTATCAACTTATCACATACGCTGCTCATTTTAAAGCCTTCCTCTACTTCAATATCTTCCATATCTCCAAATTCGCTATCTTCCTTAAACTGAGGCACCTGAGCAACGCAAGAAATCTGGAAAGGTTACGAAGGGCTTGCCAGCGGCGAAGTGTTCAATCTCGAACATCAAGATTTTGCGAGAAAAATCAACAAAACTAGAGCCTCAAATTCACAAAATTTAAACCCTTGAACCCTAAACCCAGACAAAGAGAGACCACCCAAAACTGTGATTAAATGCCTTCAAGCAAATGAGCCTTCGGACCTTGAGTGCCAACTCACTGCCTTCCACGCAAGAATCCGGACGCTCTCCCTGAAGAACCTTATCCTCATCAGCATTAGTCGCATACGCCCCATTGGGCGCAGTCCAGCACACGAAATGTTGGAAATTTCTCCGACGACCGCAGCTAGATCTAATCCTTGCAGCCTTCCAAAGCAGCTGCGCCCGAGAGCTGAAATGGGCTAGCGATAGCGACGCAATTGGGACCTTCAAGCTCCCAGCCGTCGCTTGCTCCCTCCAAACACAAGCTCCCGGGGGCAATACCTTGCTGGCTAGACCAGCTGCCATACCTCCCACCCTGCTGCAATTCCACACCCAATTTTTCGTAGAACCCTCGCCGATTTGTTTGTTACTCCTTCAGATTTCGCAATTTCGCTTCTCGCGCTTCTGCAATCCCACATCGGCACACAGAACCATCACTAGCGACGTCAAATTGGAAGAAGCACCGACGGAGAAACCTTCAAGTCAAGTCCCGGATGGATAGACTTCCGCTTTGAAGATGAATCTTGAGGTCTTAGGGTAATGCGACGGCGCAGTAACTAGACCGACGGTGAACTCAACGGCGATGAGGATAACTTCATCCAATCGCCGGGTCTTCTACATTTATTCGTCGAGTTCGTGTTCTGGTTGTTTAGTTCTCAAGGTCATCATTTCATGTTCGAAACAATAGTGGGTTTCAAACATGGCCTTTTTGGCTGATATTTCACCTCTGATGCAAGTTCAAAGTGCCCCGTGATACTTCAAAATATCACTTGATATTTCACCAAATCACCCATCTCGCGAGGTGGGTGATTTTAAAATTGAAATATCAAAAGAAGGACAAGTCAAATATCAAAAATTGTATAACTTGTCTCAACTCTCTTCCCTCTTTGAATCCATACTATCTTTGACTCCATACTATGAGGGTAATAAAGTTTGAATTAGGAGAAAATATTAAGGGGTAATAAAGTTTGAATTAGGAAAAAGTATCAAGGGGTAATAAAGTTTGAACAGTGATATTTTAGATTTGATATTTTGAGTGATCCTGGAAATATTAGGTACTAAATCCCAGTTATTTGGTTTTGCACAAGTGCCATGTTTGAAACCCCCTAATGGACAATTCTGCAAACTTGAGTGAGATAACAAGGATTCTATATATCAATATGGCTTTGAGGAATTGGGATTGGATTATGAAGCCATTGGGCTAATACATCTTAAAAGGGAAGTTGGTAAGAGGGACAATGATTTTAATTCCAACTTTGTATTATTCTATTACCATTTGTGAATATTTCAAAAAAAAAAAAAAATTGTTTGGACTAAGAAAAAATCCAGAAGAGATCTTCAATTGACATGAAACATGCAGCGTATGCTTCTATATTGATAATGATGGTCGTTAATTATAATTATAATTATATATGACTTTTGTGGTCTATTTCAAACAAAAACTAATCAATTTCTTTTGTATAAAGCATTATTTCACAATGAATTTCAGAAAAAAATACATGTAATATTTTAGTAATTTTATATTTCTAAATTCTGAATAAATTCTGACCTAAAATCGTCAGTATATAGATCTTTCAAAATGTTATAAAACTAGATTTTTTTATTTTTATTTTTTTAATTTCAATATTTCTCTCTCTTGGTATGAAAACCACATGCACACAAAATAAAATTATATTTTGAATAGTTTAAAAAAATTATGTTGTTATAAAATAACATTTAATACCGTAAGCTGATTGAGAACCTATTCTGAGAAACAAAAGTTTATAATCGCAGCAGCTCTAATGAAAGACTAATATTTATAAGACCAAAGCTTAGTACTGACTCACAACCGAGTTTCTGAGAAAAAAAAACAGCTGAACGCAGTTTGCATACTTGAACAATCTTTACCAACGAGTTTACAGCAATCTTTAGGACAACGTACGTGGTTAACAAAAATGAAACTGCTCCATAGAGAAGCTTATATGCACCGCCAGGGCTAAATAATATCTGAAGGCCTCAGATACCTATCCTTCACAACACAAGGATCATGGGAGGAATAACGCTAAAACTACACTGTCTCCTTGGTTCAGTGAAGTACTTCTCTACAGGTCATACAACCAACTCAGTCAACACCAGTCTTTCGTTACATTTTGCAGCTTGGGATCAATGGTTTCGAAAATAACTAAGCCTGCACAGCAATATACACTAGAACATGTCTCTATAGGGTAAAAAATTCTTATCAGTAAGTTCGAAAAATTGAGGTCCCTGATGACACAGAATCTCGAAGAGAAACATATGAGGGACACGGAGAGCACTCGGAATAAATACATCTATTCCTTCTTCTCAGTCTTGCGTTCTGCTTCAAGCACTCCAGACTTTGACTTCGGTGCGTATGCAACCATTTGCGCTACCACGATGCCGTTTGTTAGAAGACCAAGCAAGCAACCAACTAGCATGCTGAACGGAGCATTCTCCTGAATGCTAGTGAAGGTGCGCACCACGATGCCTACTAAGGACATGAGATTTGTGGTGAAGCTTAGCTGGCCCGTGCTCTTGTTCTGGAAGTTCTCGTATATCTGCGGCATCCGAGAGAAGAAGAAAATGGCATGTTGGCATGCGTAGAGCGCCTCGAAAAGAGTGGCGTCGAGCTTGCCTCTTAGCAGCGGGGGCACTAGTGCGCAATACAGCGCAGTCTTCACCCAAGTGGACGGGCCCTCGTTGGGGGAGTAGTAGTAGACTAAGGCCAAGCAGACAATGCTCTGAGCTAAAATGAAAACAAGCTCACCGTATGCGGAGAAGGGGAGTTGCTTGAACAAGCAGTAGGCCAAAGCGATCGTGAATCCCGCCACTTCAAGCTCGAAGGATGCCACGCTCAACCCCTTGATGCTCTTATTCTTCGCAATCACGTAAATTTGGGGCACCTTAAGGAATACCGAGGTGACAATGATAAGGTAACCTAGAAACTTCGACAGCAAAGGAAGAGCGCAATCCCTGGAGGGTAATTGGTGCCTCTCCACGGAATCCATCACGCAGGACAAATCCATGCCGGCCATCTCCAACTTCAACGTTGCTCTCTTACAAACTCCCTGTAACGGAATCCACACCTCTTGTTTAAGCTTCACGTCGAACGCGAATATATTTTCACCAAGTTCATGTTAGATCGTGCAGCTGCACTCACTCACTCTCCTGAACCTGCAGCAAGTGTTCCAGAAGAAGCACTTCAGAGAACTGGGTGGAAAATGTAGCGACTGCAATCGACGTTCGGAAGCTCAACCAGCTGCAAGCTGAAGCAAATTGGTTGAAAGCTGAAGACAGTGAGAGGAAGTGCAGAGTTCAGTGACGGACCTGCACATTGTAAGTGGATCTTTGGGGCATAAAGAGTCGCAATGAGATCACAGAAGCAAAGAGTTTGTGACTATTTCGCAGGGCCAAGGCGTTTTTCTTCGGCACCAGCGCAGATCCAACATATCGGTGCCACGCTCTAGATTTGCAAAACTTAGTATACCACGTGGAGATTTCATCACAGGTGGCGGTGACTATTGTGAGCTGCGTTGAGAGAGTCGTGGCAATGCAGATTTATATGTCTAGGCATCTTTTGGGAGGGGGATAGGAGCCATTTGTCACCGGCATAGCCATCAGATTCTGGCAGTTTCTATTGCAATGGAGCACTCATCTCCTTTCGGTAGTGGTGTAACATCCACACGGATTAAAAACTTAAATTGAAAAGGAAGATTTCTTTTGTAAAAAATAAAACTCAACATGTGCATGCATTCACACATGCATTTTATATTACCTATTAACTGGATTACTTGTATTTCTTTGACTTCTGTAGACATAACTTGCTGATCTCGATTTACACTTAACCCATAATGGGAATTAGTTTGATTAATATCACTGTTTTTATCCACATCAAAGAAATCAGAATCCTGTGAAATATCCCATCCTCATCAAGAAAAAAATTATATTTATATTTATAATACAAATTAGTTAAATATAAAAAACTTTTAAATAATTGAAAGTGAAAAGATGATTGACCTTAAAATAATGTTATAATTATAATAAAAATATATCTCCTGATCTATTAGCTGTTGTATATAAATATAAATATATACATATGTATTAGCATTAGCACCTTACTTTGTTTCAAGAATAAAATGTTGAAGTGAGATAAAGAAGTATAATAAAATCTAAAAGAATAATCAATTTTAATGCAAATAATATATTTATGAGTCACATAAAAATGCTCCAACATCATTAACATATATATATATATATATATAAATACATGTACACATACAAATCTAAATATAATAGAAAAGATATCAGAATTGCCTTTAGAAATTTTTTATGGTCTTTATTATTATAAATAAATAGATTTACTAAATATTTAAAGATTTGATTTTATATTTTTTATATTAAAAAATACAGTTATAGTTTAATTTCAGAATTATAATAATATAATAAAATTATAATTTTTTTTATTGATTATAATTTATTCCTAATGTATATGTATATATACATAAATAAACATGCTAAAGATACTTTAAAAAAACTATTCAATTTGACATATGTATGTATATGTATTTATATAGGAGAATGTTAAATCAACCTTAACATTTATTAAATCAATCTACCTATCAAAACCATTATTAGATTTCTTATCTTCCATCTATTGTTTTCGATCTCTATTCAATATCCCTTGTTCTATGTTCCTAGCCCTATTCCGTATTCCATGTATTTTACCTCCATCCCCTCTTCCTCTGTCACTATTTCTAGCATCCATTTTTATTGCTAGCCTATGTCTTAACTTCCTTATTTCTATTCCTAGTGTTTGTCTTCTATTCTTGTTTCCATTTTATAGAGAATAATATACAACTTTCAAAAAAAATTATGTTTTTAACTTTGAGAAACCAACCCTAAATCCCAAAATCTTTATTTATGGATTTTATACATAATGCCTATTTCAAAAGACTTGTACATTTAAAATTTTGAGTTGGAAAATTTTAGATTCTACAAGTACATAGAACACAATCAAGTAATCCAACAAATTTAAATTAAAAGAAGATATTTTATCTTTTAATCGTAATTAGATTACAATGCAATACTATTAATGTTTTAGTTACCAAACAATTCTATAAAAAAAAAAAAAAAAAAAAAAAAAAAACTTTGTTTGAGGACACTAATGCTATTAACAATCATAAGAAATAAGAATGAAAAATAAAGGTTGGAAGTATGGATGAGTGCTAGGAATAGATATGGGAGTTGGGATGGAAATTATGATGGAAGACAAGAAAAATATAGACAAGATACATGGGTCTAATATTGATTTTGATAAGATGGTCAATTTAATAAGTAATGGGATCAATTTAGTATTCTTATATATATGTATATATATAAAGAGAGATATAAAACCTAAAACTCTAGTTGATATTGCTCTACCTCAAGTGACTCTCATATGCCTTAAATTGATTTAAAAATATGCTTAAGACTTATTTGAAATTCCAATACTTAACTCTAATATTAATATAATAATAGAATATATATATATATAAATAAAAAATAAATATTAAGAATTAAATAATTTTTTATATAATTTTTACTATTTTTAAATTAAAAAAATTATAATTTTTTTTATAAAATATTCATTATATCCTTTTTAACCACTACTTTTTATCAAAGCAAAGAAAGACAAAAATACATACAAAAAAGAGACATATTATTAGCTAGTTATTTATAAAGAGGTTATATAAGATGTAGCAATATCAATTAAAGATATAGTATTAATAACTCTCCATCTTTTTTTTTTTTGCTTTGGATATATATAAAGATTAAAAATATTAAATAATTATATTTTTTAATTATTTAAACCTTAATAATTTAAAAATATTAGATTAAGTAACCTTAATTAATTATATAAATATATAATTATTATATTTATATTTCGAATCCAATCTATTATATAAAAAAATATAGATAAAATACAAAGAGACAAAGAAGTCATTTGATTGGTTATAAAGAAGAGAACATAAGAAATTCAAGGACCATAGGAATTGAAGAACATAGAAACACACAAAATATAAATAAAGAAATAGATGGATGTATCAAAAACTAATGTATCTATGTCATGGACATATATTTACTGTAATTATTACCTAGGTGATATGAATAGGTAGAAGTAAGTAAAAGTAGATTAATTTCATAATATCTTCTAGAAAAGCTTCTTAGAAGCTTCATAGATGTTGCTTTGACTTTACATGTGTTTATACTTGATTGATAGGTTAGAAACTTGGTCAAAAAATTAATCACATGCTACACATGTTGGTAGCTTGCGGAACAAGCTAACTATGTGGTGTCCACATAGAAAACTTGTCTTGCAAGTTAAGATATGTGTTGTACAAAGTCAACACATTTTTGAAGGTCCTATAGAATGTCGCCATATAGCTTTTACGTAGATAATATATATAGAGGCAAGAGTAAAGCCTTCTTCACTCTTGTCAACTCCTTTCTTACTTCTAGTCTAGTTTCAAGGGTCTCTAATTTTCTTATCTTTTGGCAATAGCCATTCTAGTTTCTTTCTTAATATACATATTTAGTTATTACTATTTTATCATCTTTCTTTGAGAAAAGTCTCACTAATTTATTTGTTTTTATCAAGTTCTTGTCCTTGAAAAATTGATAAGAGTGCACTTACAATATCTATGCTTTGTCTAATCTTGATTAAGAGTGGATTACCCCTTTCTTTTAATAAGACATAAGCATATTAGAAGTTGCAGATTATCGTCTTTAAAATTGATATTGTTTTTAGTATTTTCTTTTTTCTCAAGTCTTTTCTTCTATTTGTCTTGAGTAATATTAGACATCTTTTCTTTTCTAAGTATTATCATGGCAAAACTTGCTGAAATGAAGACTGCAATGGCATAAATGTAAGAACAATTAAAGGAGTTAATGCTTGCGATATATTAACTCAATTTATTACCATAAGAATCAATAAGATTGGTAGGAAGTGAAGATATAGAAATGATTGGAGTTGGTTCAACATCTGTACCAAATCATGTCCTTTTTCCTATAGTAGAACATCCTTCCAGTGTTTGAGAACCAAGAATTGTCCTACTCAAGAAGTTTGATGGCACCAAATCAAAGTTTTGAAGATTTATCAATCAAGTACAACTTGTGATTGAACTTTAATTCCAAAGCTATCCAACTCTAAGATCGCAAGTTAAATTCATTGGTATGCTTCTTTCAAGTTCAACATTATCATGGTTTTCATCTTTTCTTGAATGATGAGATCTAATATTGGATAATCTGGAGGCTTTTTTGACAGAGTTTCGATCTATATATGAAAAACATGATACAATTCGTGTTGCAACCAACGAGATCTATATTTTGCGACAAGACAATCGATCAGTAACATTGTATATTTCATAATTTTGAGAACTTGCAACTAATATCAAGTGGGATGATGTTGCACTTATTAATCAATTTCTCTATAGATTACAATATGAGATAAAAAAATTAATGCTCAACTTATCTGATCCTCAAATATTGAGTCAAAAAATTGACTTTGCTGTAAAGTGTGACAATTGTGTTTTTGAATTTTGATCTGAGAATCGTACAAGTGGACCTCAAAATTACTATAATTCAATAGCAACATTAACATCGCTTCAATACATACATTCAAAAGTAGACAATATGTAAATTGATGGAGTATGTTTCAATCATCTTATTGAGCAAGAAAAGACTTGTTGTCATCAAGAAGGATTATACTTATATTAAGGAGAACCTAAGCACACTGCTCAACATAGCCCTTAAAAGTAATGCAACCATAAAATGAGAAGTATGACTATCAAAGAAGATAGTATGTCGGAAAACAAGTTTGTCCAGCTACAATAGGGACCTTGCAGCTGGAACCTTGTATAACACCTAGTGAAGGTCATATTTTCTCTTCAAAATCCTCACTTTGTTTTACGATAAATATTATTTTAGGACCTAAACATCACAAAGCCTCTGCCTTGCTAGATTCAAAAACCTCAACATGTTTCTTAGATGAAAAATTTGCTAAAAAACATAGCATATTTTTAGTGAAGAAAATTTAATCTGTTCATGTAGAAGTCATAGATGGTCGTTCATTGTCTTCAAGAGATGTTACTCATGAAATCCTTCCTATAGAAGTAGCAACTAATGGTCATAGTAGCTTTGTAATATTTAATATCATTAGATCTCTTTTTAATCCAATCATTTTAGGTTTATCATGGTTAGAAAAATATAACTCTTAAATAGATTGGACTTCTTGTAGTCTTGATTTTTTTGAAAGTATAACTAAGAGCATAGGTAATCAAGTAAAAAGTCATAATTCTAGTACAATTAAACCTTTATTTGTAGATGCAAGAGCTTTCTTAGATGCTGCAAAAGAAGGATCACCTTGTATTATTTATGCCGCACCTAATTCTACTGATAGAAAGACTTCAAGTGGCATTCTAAATCAATATCAAGATTT